CCCCCCCCCCCCCCACTCCCACACCCTCCACCACCCCCACCCCAAAACTCGACAAAGCAATGAACGCCTTTAAGACTCGATGTAATTTAATCAGCCGCTGAATACCAGTTCGTCTGGGTGTGGGTCCTGCATGTGGGACAGGGACCACCCTCAAAGCCAAGACTGAAGGACGTTAGTGAGGAGCTGGGATCCTCTGAGAGAGACAGGTGGGGGTGGGGGGAGGCGTGGGACTGGGCGGTGGTGGCGGGGGGGTAGTTAGAGAGAAGAGGAGGCTGTGTTCACACTTTAATGGGGGTCTTGCCCTGTGCTTTCTGGAAATCATGCTGTAGTTTCGCCAGTGTTTCTCTTTGCTGCTCCGACGTCTTCTCCAGCTCCTTCATTTGTCCTTCATACCGCTTTCTGTAACAAAACAAAAAGGTCAGCGAGGGCGGGCAGCGGGTGATGCAGCAGGCCACTTGGCCTGTCAAGCGTACTCTGCCATTAATGCTCTCACGGCTGGTTCTCAACTCCAGTTATCTGACCACTCCCCATCCGCCTGGACTCCCTGAGCCACCAGAAATCCAACCGCCCCCCCCGGCCTTAAAAGGGTTCACTTGTTCAGCATCCGCAGCCTACCAGGGCAGGGAATTCCAAAGGTTTGCCGTTTTTGGAATGAGGAAATTTCTCCCCATCTCAGTCCCTTATCCAGAGATTGTGCCCCACTTCCCGAACCCGTGACATTAACCTCTCAGCACCGACCCTACCAAATCCATTCAGCGCCTTGTATGGTTCAGTGAGATCTCTCCCTCATTCTTCTAAATGCCAGAGAACATCACTCCAGTCTCTAAACATTGCATATCCTGTCACCCCCAGGGGCAAATTCCATGAACAATCCATATCCAGTGCCACTACAGCTTATCTTACAGACCCAAGCTGCTTCGACACTCCTACAGATGTAAGCTCATTAAAGCCCTGCGCAATTGTAATGAGACTAATACAGTCAAATGGCACAGAAACAGACCCTTTGGTCCAACCAGTTCATGCTGACCACGTTCCCAAACTAAACTAGTCCCACCTGCCTGCTCCTGGCCCATATCCCTCCAAACGTTTCCTATTCATGTACTTATCCAAGTGTCTTTTAAACGTTGTAACTGTACCCACATCCACCACTTCCTCTGAAAGTTCATTCCACACACAAACCACCCTCTTTGTAAATCCTCATGTCTTTTTTAAAACTGTCTCCTCTCACCTTAAAAGTATGTCCCACAGTTTTGAAATCCCACACCCTAGAGAAAAGACACTTGCCATTCACCTTATTGATACCCCTCATGGTTTTATAAACCTGTCCAAGGACACCTCTCAACCTCCTACGCTCCAGTGAAAAAAGTTCCAGCCTATCCAGCCTTTCTTTATAACGCAAACCTTCCATTCCCGGCAACATCCAGTTCATGATCTGCAAACTCTAACCTCCTTGCAATAAAGGCCAATATATTACAGGTCCTCCTGATCGTAAGATCCATGTGGGTCTCAAATCATTTCCACAACAGCAACTAATGCATACTGCCCAGCTCACCACAGGGTCTGAGAGAAACACCAGGCAAACAGATGTGAGGGGAACTGAGACTGAGAGAGAGAGAGAGAGAGAGAGAGAGAGAGAAGGGGGAGAAGGAACCTGTTTTATTCACTCAGGCACATGGGTGTTGCTGGCTGGGCCCAGCATTTATTGCCCTGTCCCTAGTTGACCCTCTTGAGAAGGTGGGAGTGAGCTGCCTTCTTGAACCGCTGCAATTCATGTGCTGTGGGATGACCCACAATGCCCCTTAGGGAGGGAATTCCAGGATTTTTACCCAGTCACACTGAAGGAACGGCGATATATTTCCAAGTCAGGATGATGAGTGGCTCGGAGGGAAACTTGCAGGGGGCTGGCGTTCCCGTATATCTGCTGCCCCTGTCCTTCTGGATGGAAGTGGTCATGGGTTTGGAAGGTGCTGCCTGAGGATCTTTGGTGAATTTCTGCAGTGCATCTTGTAGGTGGTACACACTGCTGCGTCTGAGCGTCGGTGGGGGAGGGAGTGAGATGTTTGTGGATGTGGTGCCAATCAAGCGGGGGCTGCTTTGTCCTGGATGATGTCGAGCTTCTTGAGAGTTGTTGGGGCTGCCCCCATCCAGGGGCAAGTGGGCAGTATTCCCTCACACTTCTGACTTGTGCCTTGCAGATGGTGGGACAGGCTTTGGGGGAGTCAGGAAGTGAATTACTCACCACAGGATTCCCAGCCTCTGACCTGCTCTTGTAGCCGCTGTGTTTATGTGGGGAGTCCAGTTGAGTTTCTGGTCAATGGTAACCCCCAGGATGTTGACAGTGGGGGATTCAGTGATGGGAACACCATTGAATGTAAAGGGGCTGTGGTTAGATTGTCTCTTGTTGATGATGGTCATTGAGAGGCGCGAATGTTACTTGCCACTTGTCAGACCAAGCCTGGATATTGTCCAGATCTTGTTGTATTTGAAAATGGACTACTTCAGTATCTGAGGGGTCACGAATGGTGCTGAACATTGTGCAATCGTCCCCGTGTCTGACTTCAGTGACCTGACTGATTTTGGAAAGGCAGACTAAGTCACTGTGAGGCGCGAGGTATGTTTGCTGGATCACAGAGTATGGGCTCACAGTGACCCCTCTCCAGGGATAGCCCCACACCGAGCAGTGTGGGTGAAGGAGGGAGAGAGGGTAATCCCTCAGTCAAGTTACAGGCTGTCACTGCTAACCCGGTACAGGATGTCTGAGTGAGAGACAGACAAGTGATGGAGGAAGCTGGGACAGCGAAGGAACAGGGGGTCACTTGCGTCCTGGTATAACCGATCCCTGAGATCTCAGCGAGGGGCCAGCGATTCCCTCACTGTCAGCTGCCCCTCGATCGGAGGGTGAGGTTTATTCATGTGACTGACCAGGACAACCCTCAACCTGCCAGGTTCTGGGTTAGGATGTGCCCGGCGCTAGTGGGATGCGGAGGGCAGGCATTACACCCATTAAGGGCGAGTGGAGAGGCTGCCGATCCTAAACTGACCACCCCCCCAGGGAGTGGGGGGGGTGCGGCCGACTACAGCGAGTTGATGACTGTGGGGTGACTGTCTGGTGTATGCCCCACAATTACCCCACACTCTCAAACCCTTCGGTCTGTTCCAAGAGGCAACGTTTTTTTTTTAAAAACACAGAGGGTGGTTCGTGTGTGGAATGAACTTCCTGAGGAATTGGTGGGTGTGGGTACAGTTACAACGTTTAAAAGACATTTGGATGGATATGTGAATAGGAAAGGTTTGGAGGGATATGGGCCAGGAGCAGGCAGGAGGGACTAGTTTAGTTTGGGATGATGGTCAGCATGGACTGGTTGGACCGAAGGGCCTGTTTCCATGCTGTGTGATTCTATGACTCAGATCACCGTAGACCAGCTCAGGCACTCGACCTGCAGAGCACTCCCCAGACAGAGTCTCTCAATATCTCTCTCTCTTGCTAATCCAGCTCTGCCTAATGCCTGACTAAGTCAGCAGTTGTGGCTGTCACAGCTCTCCTGTATTACACTGAGACCGGAACTGTTGATCAGTGACAGACAGGAATGTGAGGAGGCCATTCAGCCCATTGAGTCTGCTTCACCATTCAATGAGGTCACATCTGGTCTGATCATCCTCAACTCCACATTCTTGCCTTTTCCCCATAACCCTCGAACCCTTTCCTGATCAAAAAAACTTTATCGCTGCCTTGAATATTCTGAATGACCCAGCCTTGACAGTCCACTGCAGTCAAGAATTCCACAGGTTCACTTCCCTCTGACACATGAGAATGTGCAAACTCCACACAGACGGTCGCCCAAGGCTGGAATCGAACCTGGGTCTCTGGTGCTGTGAGGCATCAGCGCTAACCACTGAGCCACAGGGGACACAATAGCCTAGTGGTGTTATTACTGCACTGTTAATCCAGAGACCCAGGGAATGTTCTGGGGACCCTGGGCTCAAATCCAGCCACAGCAGATGGTGGAATTTGAATTCAATAAATACCTGGAATTATGAGTCTAACGATGACCGTGAATCCATTGCCGATTGTCAGGAAAAACCCATCTGGTTCACTAATGTCCCTTAGGGAAGGAAACTGCCATCCTTACCTGGTCTGGCCTACATGTGACTCCCGTCCCACAGCAATGTGGTTGACTCTGAACCGTCCTCTGGGCAATTAGGGATGGGGCAATAAATGCTGCCTGGCCTGAGGTGCCCATGTCCCATGAATGACTACAGAAAAAAATAAGTATGCTGCCAAGTTGTTGTTTCATTGAGTCATACAGCACAGAAACAGACCCTTTGGTTCAACTTGTCCATGCTGACCAAGTTTCCCAAATAAATCTAGTCCGATTTGCCAGCATTTGGCCCATATCCCTCCAAACCCTTCCTATTCATGTACCCATCCAGATGCCTTTTAAATGTTGTAATTGTACCAGCCCCCACCACTTTCTCTGGCAGCTCATTCCATTCACGCACCACCCTCTGTGTGAAAAAGTTGCCCCTTAGGTCCCTTTTAAATCTTACCCCTCTCACTTTAAACCCATGTCCCTCTAGTTTTGGACTCCCCTACCCTGGGGAAAAGACCTTGTCTATTCACCCTATTCATGCCCCTCATTATTTTATAAACCTCTATCAGGTCACCCCTCAGCCTCCGATGCTCCAGGGAAAATATCCCCAGCCTATTCAGCCTCTCCCTGTAGCTCAAACCCACCAGCCCTGGCAACATCCTTGTAAATCTTTTCTGAACCCTTTCAAGTTTCACAACATCCTTCCTATAGCAGGGAGACCAGAACTGAACACAGTATTCCAAAAGTGGCCCAACCAATGTCCAGGAGGAGGAGGAGGAAGCAACAGATGGTCAAAATCATTCTGAAATTCTCTCTCTCAGAGGCGAGCAGCAGACACTGAAGGGCAGGAGCGGCTTGCTCCCGATCCGTCAAAATGGGAGATGGACTCGGATCCGACAGGGAGAGGGAGGGAACAATCTCCGCGGCCTGTCCGAACAACAGCGGGCTGAGAGAAGGGGCTGGAGAAGAACGAGTTTGGGAGGGTGGGGGTCACCACATCACAGGGTGCAGACGCTGTGGCGTTGATCGGGGAGGGAGAGTTTACTGATATCACACGCACTCGAGGAGTCACTCAGAGGAGCTGATTCGTTCCCAGGACTGTGGGGCAGGGAGCTTTGACCAAGGGGCGCAGGGCAGTTGTGGGGGGTGTTGCGTGTGTTTCTTGTTTTTATTTGTTTGTGGCTGTTGCTGGTTGGGCCAGCATTTATTGCCCGTCCTGAATTGCCAGGTTAATATTCAGCCCCGTCACTGCGGGTCTGGAGTCACTTGTAAGCATGAGCAGGTAAGGATGGCAGATCTCCTTCCGTAAAACACACTGTTTTTATGACAATTGACACTGGGTGTCACAAGGCTCGTTTTCAGTCCAGATTTAACCGTGTTCAAATGCCAGCACCAGCCCCAGTGGATTCGAATCTAAGTGGTTTAGGATGACCAGCCCAGTCACGACACAGCTAGCCCCCTCTGCCCCAGCTCCCCACCCAAACTTCAGAAAGAACGAGCACACAATTCTTTATTTTAAAGTGGGGGGTAAGAGACACGGTTATAAAGATTTAGGGCCGACAACTAAGGGGTGACCTTATAGAGATCTATAACATCATGAGAGGCATAGGTAGACAACTGCTTTTCCCCAGGGTAGGGGAGTCTAAAACTAAATAGGATAGGTTTAAGGTGAAAGAGGAGAGATAGAAAAGGGTCCAGAGGGACAGTTTTTTCTGGCGATGAGTTTCTGGAACAGGCTGCCAAAGATAGTGGTGGAGGCTGGTATGTGCATGGGCACGTTGGGCCGAAGGGCCTGTTTCCATGCTGCAAAGTGGGAGCTGGAGGTGCGGAGGTAGTTACAAAGAACATGAGGATTAGTTTGCCCTCAGAGAGCAAGGAGGCTGCTGTTTGAAACGTGAAAGAGCAGTAGGAGGTGTCCAGGTGGGACCGGGGAATGAAGCAGTGCTGTGTGCATGATCAACTCACATTTCCCCGTTGATATAATCCAATCGCTTAGCGACTGTCAGTTTGGCTTCCTCTAGACCCTGCTTCACCAGGACTGGACCCACCAGCTTGAACACGGTGTTCGTGGATTCCAACAGATCCAGTTCCTGAAGGGAAAGGGCAGGGAAAAAGGAGATCAGAATTAGGACAAAGCAGCAAGCCAACACCCAGCTCCCAACTTCCCCCACCACCCCCTCCACACAACCAGGGATCCAAGGGTGGGGAATGCTAATGGGAACAGAGCCCACGTAAAGGACAGAGTAAAGCCTAGCATCGTGGTGATCGCCACAGGCATCCCTGAGACACTATGAGCCACTGAGGCAGAACCAGTGAGCAGATACTCACCTCTTTAACAATGGTGTTCTCGGTCACTTGTGCCTCTAGTTTCTGTCGGGCAGAAAGACATTTGCTGAGGTCTGGGAACAGGAAAGAGAGATCCGTGACCTATACCGTCATAGAGTTATATTCGGTGATATTAAACACAAGGTACATAGAAAATAGGTGCAGGAGTAGGCCATTCGACCCTTCGTGCCTGCACCACTGTACAATATGATCATGACTGACCATGCAATCTCAGTATCCCATTCTTGCCCTCTCCCCATACCCCTTGATTCCTTTAAACATCAAGGGTCACGTCCAGCTCCTGCTTGAGTGGATGTAATGAACTGGCCCCAACAGCTTCCTGTGGGAGAGAGATCGACAGGTTCACAACTCTCTGAGTGAAGAAATTCTTCCTCATCTCAGTCCTGAATGGCCTACCCCTTATTCTTAGACTGTGACCCCTGGTTCTGGACTTCCCCAACATTGGGAACATTCTTCCTGCATCTAACCCGTCCAGTACCATCAGGATTTTATATGTTTCTATGAGACCCCACCCCCACAATTCTTCTAAATTCCAGTGAGTACAAGCCCAGTTGATCCAGTACCTTTCTGTAGCGCCTGGTATGTCTCCAGCTCACCGTGTTGGTGATTTTCTTTTGCGTATTTTTGATTCTGAAACAGTGGACTGAGAGAAGCGTGGATCTCGCAGATGCTGCTGAGATTCGGGTTTATTTCCAGATTTACTTAGAGTCACAGAGCTGTACAGCACGGAAACAGACCCTCCAGTCCAACTCATCCATGCTGACTAGATATAAATAAATCCAGTCCCACTTGGCAGCATTTGGCCCATATCCCTCTAAACCCTTCCTATTCATATACCCATCCAGATGCCTTTTAAATGTTGTCATTGTACCAGCCTCTGCCACTTCCTCTGGCAGCTCATTCCATACACACACCATCCTCTGCGTGAAAAAGTTGCCCCTTAGGTCCCTTTTAACATCTTTCCTCTCTCACCTTAAACCAATGCCGTCTAGTTTTGATACCAGGGAAAACACTTTGACTATTCAATCTATCCATGCCCCCTCAGGATTTTATAAACTTCTGTAAGGTCACAATCAGTCTCCAAAACACCAGGGAAAAAAGCCCCAGCCTATCCAACCTCTCCACATAGCTCAAACCCTCCAACCCTGGCAACATCCTTTGTAAATCTTTTCTGAACCCTTTCAAGTTTAACAGTATCTTTCTATGTCAGGGAAACCAGAATGGCATACAGTATTCCAAAAGTGGCCTAACCAATGTCCTGGACAGCTGCAACATGACCCTCCCAGCTCCTACACTCAATGCATTGACTAACAAAGGCAAGTGTACTAAATGCCTTCTTCACCGCCCTGTCTACCTGCGACTCCACTTTCAAGGAACTATACCCCAAGGTCTCTTTGTTCAGCAACACCCCCCAGGACCTTACCATTAAGAGTACAAGTCCTGCCCTGATTTGCCTTTCCAAAATGCAGCACCTCTCATTTATCTAAATTAAACTCCATCTGCCACTCCTCAGCCCATTGGCCCATCTGATCAAGGTCCTTCTACACTTCTTACAGCTATTATATTTCAGAAGTAGAAGATTTTTATTTTGTTTCATTTTTAGTTCTTTTACTGTCAAAGTCACAAAAAAGAGCATGATTTCTTTGTTCAAATGAAGTTGTGTTAACAGAGCTTTTGGAGACACCTGCACTTGGACAGCTCAGGTTTCTTTTTATAAAATTACACATTCAGAAGAGAGATAGTAGGAACTGCAGATGCTGGAGAATCCGAGACAACAAGGTGCAGGGCTGGATGAACACAGCAGGCCAAGCAGCATCATAGGAGCAGAGAGGCTGACATTTCGGGCCTAGACCCTTCATCAGAAAAGGGGGAGGGGAAGGGGGCTCTGAAATAAATAGGGAGA